CGTCTCGGACGGAGCCGGGCCGGGAGGAGCGGAGGCTTCGGGGAGCGCTTCCTTCCCACCGCCCGCACCGCCGTGCGCGGCAGCCCCAGCATGGAAGCCATCGCCAAGTACGACTTCAAAGCCACCGCGGATGACGAGCTGAGCTTCAAACGGGGCGATATCCTTAAGGTAAGCGGAGGGTAAGGGCTCGGGAGTTCCGTCGTTCGACCTGGGCTTTTCAGCGTCTCTCGTGAGTCTCTTCCTGTCCGCCAGACCTGATCCTCTTTTACCTCCCCAGCGAACGCCATCTGCTTTTACCAGTGTCCCTCAAGATTTCCTCAGTCCCAGTCCGACCTCTTTAAGAGCAGGAGAGGTTGTTTCCTTACTCTGTTAAGTACTCATCCCAAAGTCTCTCACTTCTCTCTTACGAGATTGGAATATTTGAAAACTTAGTCGTAAGCATCGTAGCATATAAGCAGAAGTACAAGATAATCGCAACACTGAATTCCGTTCTGTGAGAGGAACCCCCTTAAAGTGATCAAGATCAATTTGGTGTTCCTTTCCTTTGCCTCCTGCCAAGGATTCCAATATCAAAGAACAGTGATTGGATTATTTCTCGGTAGATAATCTTTTAGCATCAAGCTGTCAAATACTGGTGCTGAGTGTTATCTTCAGTCCTGATGAACTCGGGTGATAAGCTTGTGGCTGAATATTTAATGGATCTGTGCAGACGTAAGTGGGTGTTACAGTGCATTAGAGGAATTTTGGTCTGTAGTTCTTTCAATATATCAAAGGCTTTTTAGGCTTCATCTTGACTATATTAAAGGAATTTGAAAAAATCCTTGAATTTCTAAACTTTATTTTAAAAACTAGACACACAGAACAAGCCCAAAATTTTATTTTGAAGGGAGTAAAGGATAAAAATCCGTAGTGGTCTGATCTCGGTGAAGCATAGCGCTGAGCTTTGTTGCTTCCAAGTATTAAGAGCTATATTGCAGAATGTTTTAATAGAGTTTCATTCAGAGTTGATATTTCTCCATAAGCATGTAAGATGGGCTGTACCTTCCTAGTGTGATATATTTAGTATTAAAGTATTTTAGGCTGCTTCTTTCTAAAGTGCTTTGAGTAGAAACTGTTTTGGGAGGTGCCTGTCCTCCAGATGTAAAGCTCTAACTTTGTGTATGCTGACAAATCAAGTCCTGCAGACCTCAATGGGATTGCTCATCTGCTTGAATTTTTCGCCAGGGAGGGGCTTTATTTTAACTATTATTTTACACAACCTCTATGTGTAAACTTAATATGTGTCTTTTATAGCTGGTATTTCAATAACATAACTGTGGCTTTGTGTGGCCATCAACAGGTAAAGGTTGCAAAAATGTATCCTGCTTTGAGATTGTTAATTTTTGAAATAAATGCATATTTTGTATATATTCTACGCATCCCTGGCCCATAATTGGCCTAAAAATACCTGTTAGACCTGTACACCTTAATTCCAATATTTATGTAAGTTACCAGAATATTTCTTTTTGGTGTTTTTTGACTTTTGAGACTGGCAGAATTTAAATTTCTTAATTATTTTCATCTAGTTTGATATACAAGTTTGCTGAAGTACATGAAGAAATGTACTAAGTACTGAAGTATTAAGAAATGTACTAAATTTGCTAAGAATTAAAGGAAAACTTTTTTTTTAGACTTTTGGAAGTTTAGTCTGTGCTAAAACTCTTCTAACTTCACACAGTGGCTGATAGATATTCTTGAGTCCCAGCCTGTCGATGTCATCCCATAGATAGAAATTTTGTCGCAATAATAGAAGCATGGTGGTATGTATGCTGCTACACTACATTAATCATTATATTTTTCCTAGAATACAGAGAGGGATTTTCTTGCTTTACACAAAACCTAGGCTGAAATACTTCCTCAAAGCATTGATGAACAATGCTTCAAATTGTATTTCCTTTCATCTCATATTCTGAAAAATGCTTAAAATTTTTCAATATTTACTTCATGGATGGGTAAACTGAATTATAGAAATGGTAAATTGCTCAAGATTATCCCTAAAGTAAGTGGAATCTCCAAGAGCTTCAGGAATCCTTCAGCACATAGTTGAGATGAGTTCTGTGCATCATGGTAAGGTTCACTGTCTAAAGCTGGCAAATTTCAGACAAATAAGCCAAATCCAATTAGAATTGTTACAGTTCACTTTACTCAAACTGGCAAACTTCTGTGGCGCTTTGTCATTTTGAAAGTCTGGTTGATTTCAAATGTGTTTCAGGTCGTGCAAATTAATTTGTCAGACATGCCAGATCTGTTTTGTTAGTACTTTGCTCATGACTGAGAAATCTCAGGGTATCCCATTCACGTACCTCATGTGATCTGTCATATTCATCAGGTCAGTCCTGCTGTCCTTGAATGAATTGGAAGAGAAATAACCTTGAACATGTTGAATGCACCTGCACGCTTCGCTCTTAGATATCCCTTGCTGAGGCGCGCACGTAACTCCATGTGTGGTGAAGACTTCTTTAGATCTAGCTATTAGACACCTGTTTTGATGAGCCTTCAGAAAGTCAAGTTAGTTTGATGGCATATGTGATGACGCAGAGGATTGTTTTGTAGTGAAACGTTATGCTTTGGCCACACTAAGGAAAGAGCTCTTAACACTTCAATTCCCACTCCTTGGAAGTTTGTTTCTCTTTGTGGGGAGAGTAGGCAGAGATGCACATTGTCTGCCTCTGATTTCAGCAGATAACTTGCCTGTGATGTCATGGTGCCGTTCCTGCTGCATACCCACACATTTGGGACTTGATTGAATAGCGTTTGAACCGTAGCCATAACGCTGGGTGTTAGTAATCTTGTGGCTGGTTTCCAAAAGTGAGTGAAGATAGTTGACCTTTGGCTCACAATTGTAAAACAGCTGAGTGAAGAGGAAAAGTGCTCGGCCTTTTCTTTTGTGGGCACTGTATGGTAAAAGCTGCTTCTATGATTTTTGTAACCCTGGCAGGATGCTGGATCCCCTTACCCTTTTGTCTAGTGGTTCTATAGCAGCGTGTGGTATTGCCATTCAGGAGATGCAAACTGTCAGCTTTCTTTAAACGTTTAAAATATGCTAAGTACTACTTGCCAAGCCTTTTCCAAAGAAAGGAAAGGTTGCTTCTTCCTTCTGTGTCTTCTGATTACAGTACAGTGCTGCAGCTCTCAAGATCACCATTCTTTTCGTGTGCTGGTGGTTGCTTCACAAAAACCTTGTTGGTGACTGCCATCCTATTGGGGGTGTGAAGATAGCCTGTCCTGTTATTTAAAAAAGGGAAAAAAAGGAAACTGAGGGATTCCTACTTGAAATTTTGATTTACTGTTTTTCTCTTTGAATAGTTCATGGTTGTCATGATGCTTTTTCAGTAGTTTCCCCTTTCACTTACTATATTTATTGAAGCTGAGAGTAGTTAACTTCAGTTGCTGTCTATATTTGTTATTCAGGTTTTGTGTCCCCAAAAACTATTTTGTTCCTAGCAGCTTCTGGTTTTGTTGGCCTTTGTGCTAACTGGCAAGTATCCAGACCTAAAGTGTACTAATACTTGCTGGTGGTTTGGCAGAAGTGGGGAGGAAGGAGGGGAGAAAAATCATCATTCTTTCTCTCATCTCGTCATCATTTCTTTCCTCCGTTTCTCCTACACCTAATCTGAATTGTACAGTTAATACTATGGTACTCTGATAACGTTAATACAGAAGCATCGTAATATTTCTGCATCGTTAATACAGAAGCACTGAACGTATTCATGAATATCTTGAATGCTAGAATTGTGGGTTTTTTTTAAAAAACTGTAGACCACTGCTCCATTTCCTCTTTCTCCTTCTTCTGTCGTAGGGTTGGGGCATAGCTGGAAAGTGATCTTCTGAAGAACTGAATAAGTTCCTGTTCCCAGTAGTTGTCCGCATAATTAATTCAGGGACACTTACAGATTGTTTTTGTGAGTAAAATTATTCGGGTGGTGTTTTAAATAGAGGGCCATCACCTTTAATTGTGAGGTTTTCATTTTTGTGTGACACACAAACCATCTTCCCTATCTGCTAAAAGAAGGAATTCCTTGATAGGATTTTGATCACTTGACAACTTTGCTCAGTAAAGTCAAGATTTTTTTTTTCCTACTCTGATCATACTCTTGACAGTCACTGCAGGTCTGTTCACGTGATTGCCACCAGGATTATTTTCTTTCTGTCAGCCTTTAAGAAGATTGTTTGCAAACAGTTGATGCTGAGATGGCATTTTCAGTTCCTGCATGAAAACTGTTTTTTCTGTGTGTGGATACAGTGAAGCAGTTGGGGAGGGAGAAGTAAGATAAAGGGAGCATGGTCTCCATTCTCTTCTTCCTCATCCCTTGTCTCTGACCTCACCTGCATTGGCTGTTGATATCGTGGTGTCTGTGCTAGAGAACAGAAATTCATGGCTTGCTGAAGAGTAGTGCGAAGACTTCTCTGTTTTGGGTGAAACTGTCTTCATTCTCATCCTTCCTCTCCCTTCCTTCCACCCATCTTTTCATCTTGCTGCATTTTTTTGTAAGGGGATGGACTCAGTGTGGTCTTGATGATTTTAATATGGGAAAACAGTTTTCTGAATTCATGACTCAGGCAAATGGCGAGCATTGTGTGCTTTCTAGTGAAATAGGTCAAACATTAGAACAGGTTGCCGGAGAAGTTGTGGAATCCCCATCCTTGGAGATAACCAGTCAAGTTCCTGAGCACTCTGATCTAATGAAACTTGTTTTGAGCAGGTTAGATTGGATGACTTCCAGAGGCCCTTCCAACCTACGTTATCTGAGACTTAGCTGCAAGTGGCAACTCTATTGATGTGAGAGTTGATTTGTAACAATGTACTTAGGTAATGTTCTTTCAACAAAGATGATATTTGTCGTCAATGTGTGATCAATATTGCAGTCTGAGAAGAAAGAACTGTCAGAAAATTACAGACTCATAAAGACCAGTACAGGTATCTTAAACGTAGATGATTTGGCATCCTGGTGATTGGAGATCTGTGTTACAAAGAGATGCTGCAGTAAGAGGTTGCATTTTTCTGGTCTACCCAACTATTCAATTAAATTCTCAAACTTTGTTCCTCTTATGTATGACGGTAATCTGAAGGTGAGATGTGTTTTATTAGCCAACTTCTCTAGGCATCAGGGGGAAGGGTTGTGGGAAGG